GGCTCCAACGCAGCTCCCTGCTGCCGGCTACGAGGTCTCCTGCTGGCGGCAGTGGGTGGGGTTCCCGGCCAGGAGGCTCTGGCCAGGAAGCGTCTTGGGACAACACCCTCGTGGTGCTGCCCTCTGTAGAAGAACCACACGCTCGCCTCACTAACAGCACTCTGCCTTCCCTCCGCTATGTATTCCCTCGAAGCGAGCAAGGCAGGACTGGGCGGTCCAATTTACAGATCGGGAAACTGAGGTCAGGAGAGGAGACCTGAGAAGCTCTGGCGCCAGAGTCTGCGCGCCCCCTTGTTCCCGGTTCCAGCCTTCCCATGACCTGCCTTCTGCAGAAAGTGTTCGTTTTTTTCACGCGCCCCCTATGCATCCTCTAACCCCTTTAGATTTTAATTTGGGACTCCAAAAGCCTCCCACCGCGCCTCGGGTTGGTTTTGCCCAGTTCACTCCTGGCGGTGACAAGTGTCCCAAAGCCCCTGCTGTCAGCTAATCTTCGGATCTCCTCCCGTGGGTGCCCGCCCGAATCGGGGCGCTCTGCCAAACTGCGCGGCCCGGAAGGGGGTAACCGCTGGGTCTTTGATCTTCCTTGGTTTCCGCTCCCTGCTGCAGTTCGCCAGGCCCAACGGCTTGTTTGTTTTGTCTGAGGAGGTCTCTGCGGAGGGGAGGGCGACTTCAAGGGGTTCCACCCCACCTTGATGATTCTAAGAGAGAATCCCTGCTCTGCTGGGGACATCGTGGACCTGTTAAGCTTGTCCTATTACCTGAGACAGCCTGGACCTGGGAAAAGAAAACCCTGAGTTCCTAGTGTGGGGACCCGCTCTGACCTTTGTAATGAGTTCCATGCGGAAGCCTCGGTTTTACTGTCTGTAAAATGGAGGCTCGCAATTCTGCCCGTTTCACCGACTCCCTAGCACATACTGTCCAACAGAACTGTCATGGGAGCCCCATTTAAATTCTAAATTTTCTGGAAGCCGCATGTTTTTTAAAAAAAGTAAAAACAGGTTAAATTAATACTAATAATACACTTTGTTTAACCCAGTACATCCAAAATGTTATCATGTCCACATATAATGAGATGCTTTGTGCTAAGTCTTGTAAATGCAGTGTGCAGCCAACACACCTCAACCCAGAGTAGCCACATTGCAAGCGACGTTTAGCATGTGACAATGACTTCCGTATGTGGTGGCAGAATCCTGGTGCAGCTACAAGTCTCAAAAGGACGTGGGGGGCCTTAAAGGTCATAAGTCTCCTCATCATCCAGTAGTGTCTTATACCCATCCTCCAAGCTTCCTTTTCTATACTCACTTTTTGTTGGAAACCAAGGCAAATTTTAAAAGAAATTATATTTATTGAGGTCAGCAGGTGGCATAGTTAAGGGCACTGGACTCCCACATGGCTGACCAGGGTTGAGTCCCTGACCTGGCAACTTGCTTTCTCACTTTGCCTCTCTCTCTCTCACTGTCCCTCTCTGGTCAAATTAAAATAAATAAATGAATAAATAAATCATGTTAAATTTTAAAAAGAAATTACATTTATGCTATTGACAGAGTGATTTCATTTGAAGAGTACTAGAACCACAAAAACATGACTATTGTCATTTTTTTATGAGAGGTTTTTGCTATAGGGTATGTGTACTCGCCAGAGAGAGAGAGACAGAGAGACAGAAAGTGATAAATCACACCGCCCCCCCCCCAGGGGGAATGGCCACACCACAATCCCTTCTCCTCCATTCTCCTCTCCAGATCTTGTGCATGCACACACACGCACCCAACTTGAGTTTAAGCCTCTGGGTCTGGGACTATAACCACGGTCGACTACATGGGAGTCCAGTGACAAAGCCATTATGCCAACCGCTGGTCTCGACTACTGTCATTTTTTAAGAGAGAGTTTTGCTATAGGGTTCATGCGCTCACGAGAAAGAGAAAGAAAGAGAAAGCAAATATCACCCCCCCAGGGGGGATGGCCATTCATAAACCCTTCTCCTCCATTCTTCTCTAGGGATTTTGGGCACAACGTGCACAGGCACCCAGCATGAATTTGAAGCCACTGGGTCCAGGACTCAAACCACAGTCGACCACGTGGGAGTCCAGCAACATAACCATTATGCCATCTGCTGGTCCCACAACTGTCATTTTTATATTGCAATTGCAATTTGGTTTGTTCAGGTTTTTGCCATAGGGCACTTGAACATACCACAAAGAGTCAGAGAGAGTGAGAAGAAAAGTGAGAGATTACCCCCAAGGAGGGATAGCCATGCCATAACTCCTTCTCCATTTTCCTCCTGGGATTCTGGGAACCCATACACATGCACCCGGTGCAATTTTTTTTTTTTTTTTTTTTTTGGAGAGGTTT